AGGGTGGCGAGACGATTTGCATGATTGTCTTAAAGGCAACGCGGAACTGCCGGGTGGAGATGTGAGAGGGGAACGAGGCGAAGAGGGTGTCTACGTAAAACGGCACAACCTTGACGGTCATTGGGCCGTTGTGAGGGCAGGCGAGCGCGGACAGGATGGCGCTGTGGGCCGACTCGAAGATCTCCAGAGATAGCGATGTCGGCGGGCCAGTGTGCGTGAGGTAGGTAGTTGCGGGCTGGACGATGAGCTCGTCGCAGGCCTCGGTGGGGATATTCAGAGGCAGATGCTCGGCAACGTTGAGGTAGAAGAGGTCGAGAGATCGGTGCACTGGGTGATACAGTGAGTGGCTCCGTACGGCATTGGGACTGGTGGGCTTGATGCCCGCCAGGAAGGCAACCGCAGCCTCAGGATATCTGACCAGGTTGTCAAGAGATGTGAGGTAGGTAAAAGAGTACACCTGGAACGAGCTGTTGTTGTCCCTGGAGCCAATGAAGAACAGATCGCGTAGCGTTCGCAGTGTTCTGGTGGCCAGTTCCGGAGCAACCTCTCGGCTCCTCAGAGATGGATCCAGCAGGCTCCGCGCCACAATGGCTTGCAACGTCGTTACCGTTGCGTAGAGCATCTTTTTAAAAGTCTGCCACAGGGCCGGCGCGGTGACTTGCGAAGCCTCGGTAGTATAACGCATCGACTCGTCGAGAGAGTCAATACTCGACAGCCGCGTGGCTTGCCATTGGTGTCTGACGCGACTACTGAAGTCCATCAGCGCCGTGTGTGCAGCCAGAACAACGGCTGGGTTCGTCGCTTGTTCCACGGCAAAGGCAGCCAGTCTCGACAGCGGGCCCATGCCCGCCATGATCGGTTTCGACTCGAGAGCCTGCAGCATGGCATACGAGGGAGAAGTTGGCGCCCAATGGATTTGGGGGCCAACATCCTGGATATCGTTATTGATGGCAGCCAGAAAGTCGCCGTTCTCGAACCCCTCCTCGGCAACCATCGCCTGCACGGCAAGTGGCAGAAGCGCATCGTAGTTGATCAGGCTCCTGTGGGTTTCCGACAAGAGTGGGAACGCGTAGTTCAGCGCTAGAACAATTGAACCTGTGGCCATCGGCCCTTCAGTTGTCGCCGTCTCCATTGCCAGGTTCGCCGCAGTGACTACAGCCTGCTCAAGTGTGCTGCGCAAGCCATTCGACAAGGACCGCCGGTCATTACCTTCCATGCCCATGAGCACACCAGTCAGGACCAGGAGATGCTGCCATCTGTGCGAGCGGTCATCAGCACCCTTTGCGACGGCCCTCGCCCACACCTCGGACGTGAGTCCGCCGCTCTGTCTCTGGCCCTGATGCGTGGTGGGGTCGAGCTCGTGGTCGCGAACGCGGAGGGCCGCGGTGTTGTAGATGCTGATGATGCGGAGGCTCGTCCGGAGTCCATCCCGTCGGTGCCATATCGCGGGTGCGATGAGGAGTTGCGATGTGAGAACGCCGAGGTTCAGCGGATTGGAGAGCGTGGTGAGGAGGTTTGTAGTCGATCCGACTATCTGATTCGTCTTGTGGTCGTCGTGAACGTTCCGGTACAGTTGCAACACTGTGTTGAGGAGGCGGTCTGCCGGCATGTTGGGCTCGCGCAGTATGATATCCGGCGCAGTGTACTTGTTCGGTTCCTGGGCGAGGGGGATGCGTCTTTGGAGATGGAGGATGGTAGTCGCCAAGTCCTTGGACCACAAGTGACGTTCTCTGGGCGAGCCGTCCGTACCGAGGCAGGTGATGGAGCCTAACGCAACCCCCTAAGCTTGCCGAATGACACCCCAGGTGTCGCTTTCGTTCGGCCCACCCCTCCTCCCACGCCCACCTTACCGCACCCGCCACCCGCCATCTCGCGACAGCCATTGTCCTTCGAGCATCCTTTTGTCTATCGCGAACCTCGCAGCTCAGCATGCCATGAACAATCTCGTCGCTCACCAAAGTCTCGACCAAAGCAGGAGCGCCATACTGCCGCCATAATGTCGCTTCGCGCGGAGAATTACCCGCCGGACAACTATCAAACCCCCCCGTTTCCGTCCATCTCCTTCCAATTGAAGGACCTGACGAAGGACCATCGCTGGAGTCTGTATTACATCGGCGACATTTGGCGCTTCACCGTGCTATGGACTCTGATCATCTACGGGGTTGTGCATCTCGCTTCTGCCTTTATCGCCTTGGCCATGCAGGGCGGAAAGAAGCGCTCGCTCATGTACCTCTGGGTAGCTCCCATTGTCTACGTCGCCGCAGCGCTGGTCCAAGGCCTCCTGGCTGGAAGTGTAGTGGGATTGGTGTATGTTGAGCATCATCTACTGCCTGACGTGGTCTTCCTTTTTACTGACTGGCGACGACTCGCAGGCTTGGGGCTGTGTACAATGCCGGCTACTTCTCCATGTCGACCTGGGTCCCTGTCCTCTGGGGTGCCATCAACGTCCTCGTCCTCATCGTCTCCTCCTTCTCCATTCAAGGCGGCTTGTGAAGATTTCTACGAAGCATAGTTGATATTCGTCGATGTGGCAGGGATCGTTTCGGCGGGCACCGATACCTCAACCTTTTTGATGACGCGCGCTGGGTTTCCCGCAACGACAACGTGATCCGGAACGTCCTTGGTCACGACACTGCCAGCACCGACCGTTACACCCCGGCCAATGGTCACACCCGGCAGTACAATGCAGTTGCCGCCGAACCAGCAGTCGTCGCCGATGGTGATGGGCTTGCCGCTCTCGGGACCCTGCGTGCCGTTGCGGAGGGTCGGGTCCAGCGGATGGGTTCCGCTGAAGAAAGAGCAGTTGGGCCCGATGAGCGTGCGCGAGCCGATGGAGATGAGGCAGGTGTCTATCCAGGTGCTGTTCACGTTGACATAAACGTTGCGCCCAAGCCTAGGAGCAAGCGTGAGCAGTAAGCCAAGGGGATAACGGGGAGAGACAGCCTCACTTGACATTGCGGCCGTAATCCATCCGAATAGGAGAGTCGATCCAGGGCCAGTCCTGGAGGAGCATGTCATCTTCTTCCTGGCTCATGGCTTGCGGAGGAAGAGGTGTCTCGTCACAGTTGAGGCTGTCACGTCGTCAGCGCCTAATATCGAGCCACAAGGCGAACCTGGGGGGGGGATGGTGGTACTCTTTCCACAGCTCAACGAGCTCCCTGCGGCTCACATCACCAGCCGCGTTCAGTCTCTGGTACGCCTTGCGGCACCGTTGGCGATCGGCGATGAGATCAGGCGAGAAGGCATAGTAGAGCTCGCCATTTGCCATGCGACGCCTGTTTTCCTCTCGGTCGATTGTGCGGATATCCATGTTGGGGGGGGGGGGGGGGGTCCGGATTCACGAAACCGCAAATCAATACACTTTTTTTTTGTTGGTACAAATTGTCGCTTCGAAATTTGTCTTGGCAAGATATTATGCGGCGAGTCCTTCCGTCTTGAGGTAAACACAACGAGAAGCTAGGGTAACGGTGCCTTGCTGTGAGATTGTCGTTGGAAGATCAGTAGCGGAAAACAAGAGGGGCTCCAAGCTGCAGTCTGTTTCTGGGACTCTACAATTACGTCAGAGCCTCCCGAGACACGCCCTGACGCCCTGGGTTCTAGGGAACGCTGCTGTATTTCTAACCCCACAGCGCCCTGAAGCCCCTGAACGGCCCGTGCCCCGCGGTGCAGCCCCTCGCTGGTTGAGCCACGCTGTCGGTGAACCCCTGACTGACCTTCAGCACACCTCGGTGAAGACTCTGATGTGTGTCGAGTGAAACCTTGCCATCACCAGTCATCTCGATTCGCCATCACCCACTCGGCATGAGCGCTTGTTGTTGGGGAATGGCTTGACGATTGAATCACTTTCTCTATACCTAGCGTTGATAACGAAAAGTCGGTTGGCGCTTCCTTCTCATTGTCCACAGCGCAACGCAACGGATTGGTAGACCATTGTTCTTGAGAACAATTGCCACGCCAGCGCGGGGCGCAACATTCACGATGGCCGGCTTTGAGCATCTGTAAGTGGGAACATGTTCATAACCAGACATCTTATCATGGAAGCTTTCCTGGTTTTCGCCGGCTTCCAATTGTTGTCTGCCACTGCTGCTCTACCTCTCCATTCCCACCTCACACCACATCACGTATTTCCCTTTACCTGCCACCACTTGTACCATCATGCCCGTCCGCAGTACAGTCAACGCATGCACCAAGCCCTTCATGTCACCCGACAGCATCACCTACCTAGGCCTCACCCACAGCGGGGCCTACACCCGTCCGACCGCGGCCAAGACTGACACCCAACCCAGCGGCTCGCCCTCGTCCTCGGCCTCCTCAGACGACCTGGCCACCGGCCCCACGGGCGCCGAGTACTTCCCGCACCGCCCCAAGTCCCTCGCGGGCATCGCCCTGCGCGCCTTTCTCCTCGGCGCAGCGCTGTCCGTGTCGGCGCTCGGCGCCGTCGTGCTGCCAGCCCCCTACTGGCGCCTCCCCTTCTTCACAGCCGCCCTCTCGCTCTTCCACTTTCTCGAGTTCTGGACGACGGCCGCCTACAACACGCCCGAGGCCGACGTCAAGGCCTTCCTCCTGACCGCCAACTGGCCCGCCTACGCCATCGCCCACGCCGTCGCCGTCGCCGAGTGCGCCCTGACCTCCCTCCTGCTGCCGCCGCCGCACGCCTGGGCCCCCGCGGCGCTGCCGGCCCTGCCGCGCACGGCGCTGCTCGCCGCCGGCTTCGCCCTCGTGGCCGTGGGCCAGGTCGTGCGCACGGCGGCCATGATCACGGCGGGCCGCAGCTTCAACCACACGGTGCAGCACCGCCGTGCCGCGTCGCACGCCCTCGTCACGTCCGGCGTCTACGCCTGGTTCCGCCACCCGAGCTACTTTGGCTTCTTCTGGTGGGCCGTCGGCACGCAGCTCGTGCTCGGCAACGTCCTGTCGCTCGCCGGCTACGCGTTTGTCCTGTGGAAGTTCTTCTCCGGACGCATCCGCCACGAGGAGGAGCTGCTTGTTCGCTTCTTTGGGAGGGAGTATGAGGAGTACCGGCGCAGGGTCGGCACCAGGATGCCGTTCTGCGGGTGAGGGGAAGTCTTTTTTTTGCTCGTTTTGTCTGAAGGCGGATGTATGAAGGCTGATAAATGAAGGCTGATGTATCTGCGGGACGTTTGCAGAGCGTTACATAGAGTAAATGGAGGGTGGCGGGCGTAGGCCAGTAGGTGGCATGTGTGAATAGATTGGAACGAGGAACATGGTCAATCCACTTCTGGGCAAGCAAACGCCTGCTTTTGTCTATTCAAATCTACATATTGGTCGCGATCGTCGAGTCTCCTCATTATTCACAATGTCCCCGGCGTCGTGCGCGCCATCTGCCGCGACACGCTCCCGTACTTGGCCTGCCACGCGTAAAAGTACATGAGTGCTGCAAACGGCTGGCCCAGGATGGTGAAGGATATCCAAAAGATGCAGTTGCCAATCATGCGGCCCGTTGGCGTCTTCATCTTCTCGAGCGGCGTCGTGATGGCGATGAGCGGCAGCTGCAGCAGCATGCCGAGAAATGCGACACCTAGCCCTGTTAGCATGGGTTTGTTTCCCCAGAGCCCATGACAACCCAGACGTACCAATAATGTTGTGGGTCGGTACGCCGACGAGCACCTCGTGCAGCACGGCCGAGAGGAAAAAGACGGCGACGCTCGCGACAAAGGGGCTCCACCCGCGCCCGACCATGGGCGAGTAGACGTGGCGTCGGAAGTACTGCGAGACGGGCTTGTTCCACGTGCGCCAGTAGGTGCCGAGGCTGGGGCTGTTCCACCAGTCGTCGTAGAAAGACCTGTCACCGAAGCGCATGACCTCGGCGAGGGCGTTGAGGAACGACTGGAACAGGGCGAAGAAGCCGGCGAGCCAGATGACGAGGGAAATGGTCGACAGCTTCATGAGGCGCTCCATAATGTTGGTGATGTCAAGAGAGGCAATCTTGTCGAGCGAGTTGAGAAGAACGGGCGCAGCATACTGCGCGCTTGCGAACCAGATGAAGACGCTCAGACAAAAGACCTCGCCCAAGCGTTTGGCGACGAAGATCCACCGAATCTTGTCGGTGCGTGGGTAGGCGGGTTGGTAGACGAGGGTGGGCGCCCACCAGAAGTACACGAGGTTGCTCATCGTGATGTTCTCGGGGTAAGGGCACTTTTGGTAGATCTCGGGCATGGCGTCGAGCTCACCCTTGACGGGATGGAGGTAGGCGTGACGGAGGTCGCGGTTGGTGAATGCGTACGAGGACGTCTTGAGCCAGACAATGACGGCATGGAGCTCGGTCAGAGTGCCGATCAGGGGGTGGTAAATGTTGAAATACACAACGAGCGTCGTGACCGCCAGGGCGAGCGTGATGTTGAGAGCGTGCGCCCAGGCGACGATCTTCCATGTCGACTTGAACCTGGCGCTCTGGTCATGGGTCGGACTCGCACTGCCGTCTTTGGTCTTGACGCGAGACCCGCGCGCTTGGTGTGCGGCAACGAGTTCGATGAGATAGGCGGCGAAGAGATGGCATGGGATGAGAAAGTAGAGGCCCAAGCCAAGAAGGATGTCAGACCTGCGAAAGTCATGGCAGTGGAGACATATCAAGACGCCATACTGAGAAAGATGTTAGATCGAGGCAGTCAAGACTCAAGAGTACCCATTGACGGCGGAGAAACGGTACCTTTTGCAGGTTTTCAATCATCAAACGTAGGTTTCCCACAACTGGACATGAAGCGTCAGCATGTCAATCTCTCACATGAGTGGCCCTGACGTGGGAAAACGGATGGAATATGGGGGCGAGTCATACCCAGCACGATGACCATGAGGTTCCTGAACCCAAGGAAACTAGGAGCGGCAGTGGAGTCGTGGCTCAATGTTGAGGGCCGTAGCTGACAGTGCACGGCGACGACATGTCGATACTTTTTCTGGAGTGCCTTTCTCAACTCATCCGTGGTGGCCTTGGTGACGTCGGCTGGGGTCTCGGATGTGGTGCCGTTGCTTTTTTGATTCTGGAGAGGGACGGGTCGGCGGGTGGGCTGAGGGGCAGCCGGGCTGTCGCTGTCCAGGCTGGTGACGGTTGCCGAATTCATGACGGGCGAGTTCAATCCCATCAATTGAATGACGGCCTGAAACGAATTGATCAAAGGCTAACGAGATTCTGTCAAACCTCGAAAGAGGCACAGAGAGGGAGCGAAAAAAAGGGCAAAACGATGAGGAACCAAGGACAACCACCCTCAAAAAAAAAAATAGGATGTCAGGCCAAGGGAGATCCAGGGACCTATATGGGCGGTTGAAGCCGAATCAGTGGCGGAGGAGGGGCGATAAGATAGGAATGAGCAGGAAACAGGAAGCAGCAGGTGCGGCCGGCAATAATGCGACGACAGTAGTTGGGATGAATATGGTGGGATTGAGACAACCCAAAAGGCGAGAGAGCAAGCGAGAATTAAAAAGACGACGGTAGATCAAACACGAGCCGCCGAGGCATCCAACCGACTCTGTTCAGTCTTCGGGCTACCAACTGCCAGGTAAGGTAGGGCGAGGCAGCGCAAAGCATGGCATGTAGGTAGGTAAGGTAGGTAAATATGTACCTCAGACGAGACCATACGCGGCGCGGCGCACGCCTTAGGGAGTGGCGGACGGGGCGGAGTTCCAATCAACCCCCTCCTCGGGAACCGTTGATGCACTTGATGCAGGAAAACACACCGGTTCAATGACACTTGGTTCCGAACCGACTTGGCGGGCTGTTATCAATCAAAACGACGTTGGCCATGAGCTTGAGCGTGTGCTGTCGTGGAATGATGAGACTACGGGGGGGGGGAAAGGGAGCTGCGATTGGAAGGGGAATGCAGGCAATTCCGTGGCTTGCAGGAGACCACTAGGAGAAATGGACAATCAATGGCCAGGCCGTACTGCCAGTCATCGGAAGGAAAGGAAAAAAAAAAAGAAAAAAGAGAAAAGATGCAAACCTGTCTTGCCTTGCACTCTGCATGCATTCTGCACCCTGAGGTGCTGCATGCAGTCGACCTTGTTGGGAAATCCTGCGTCAATGTGTGCTGTATGCCCAGGTACTAAGCAAGCGTCAGTGCACATGTAGCTCCATCGTTCCAGCACCTTAGCGTCCCCAACTGCAGCAGCCCTCCTTGCCCTCCAGCGGCCTTCAGTGGGACGGCGACGACGACCCATCAGCTGCGGGTGGCCCTACAGTGGAGGCCCTACAGCCGGAGCGGATAGCGCCCCGGTGCATGTCCAGGCCATCCACTCGGCCTTCCTGTGGGGAACGAGCTGCCTGGCCTGTGGGCAGCCTGTGGGCAGTGGCTGAACTTTGCTGTCACATGCGAAATCGCCTCGTTCTCTGACTGCAGGTAGGTGGAGCGAGCGCCTTAGGCCTCGAGGCCGAAGTTTTTCCTCGATAAGAAGGGAGAGCTTTATCTCCATGTGACCCAGCACCATGGCCCGTGCCACGACGCGCTTCACTTCCTCTTGTCATTGGCGACGTGCCTGGGCCTTGTAGCCCAAAGAAGGGCTCATCTTCAAGAGCTTAGGATATTGTCCATCACCACATCTCATCACAGGCCGCCAGCTATCGACTCGCATCATCGTCAAAGTATCTCTTTCTATATCTGCCCCGAGACATACTATTTCTTCATGAGATAGCGTCATGGCGTATGAACCCCGTGGGGATTACTCCCGTCGAGGAGGTCCCGACGGTGATGATCTCCATCAGCCGAGAGCCGTGAGAGGCCGCCGTAGGTATCCCTCATGATGAAGAGTCTCACGACACCAGCTCACAAGGTCCAGGCCCCGTGACTGACTACGGCGCAACCGTCTCTCAGTGGATGCGCGACCGCAATCCCGGCACGGGCTTCTTTTCAAATGACGAGGCTGAGAAGCCCTCTGCCAGCTACATCTGCGACGTAAGAAATCGTCCATCCGTTTCGCGACCCTGTCTCATACTTTCCAGTTCCACCCACCAGCAACCACGACGGGTGACCTGCATGATGCCCTGCCCGTGAAGCACCTTCATTCCTCTCTTAACAAGATTAAGCACCCCGTCAACGTCGTTCGATGGACGCCCGAGGGCCGTCGCCTGTTGACCGCCTCGAGCAGTGGCGAGTTCACTCTCTGGAACGGCACAGGCTTCAACTTTGAGACCATTATGCAGGCGCACGATTCTGCCATTCGCACTCTCGCCTACTCGCACAACAACGACTGGCTCCTTTCGGCTGACCACGACGGCATCGTCAAGTACTGGCAACCAAACTTTAACAATCTGCAGAGCATCACGGCGCACAGCGATCCTATTCGAGACCTCGCTTTCGCGCCAAACGACTCGAAATTCGTCACCGCGTGCGACGACTCGTCACTCAAGATTTTCGACTTTGCCGGCGGTGTTGAGGAATCTGTGCTCAAGGGCCACGGCTGGGACGCCAAGAGCTGCGACTGGCACCCCTACAAGGGTCTCCTCGTGTCTGGTTCCAAGGACCACTTGGTCAAGCTGTGGGACCCCAGGACAGGCCGCTGCCTGACGACATTGCACGGTCACAAGAACACCATCACCAAGACTCTCTTCGAGAAGGTCCAGGGCGACTGCCTCGCCACATCGGCTCGGGACCAGACCGCCCGCGTCTTCGACCTGCGCATGATGCGCGATGTGTGTCTGCTCAAGGGACATGAGAAGGACATCTCGACCCTGACCTGGCACCCCCAGCACGCCAACCTCCTCACAACAGGCGGCCACGACGGCTCGCTCCACCACTACATCACCGATCAACCCAACACACCGCCCGGCCAGAATGCCGGCATCGCCCCCTACGACACAACAGACCCGTCCGGCACGACTGCCCAGACGATATACCCGTCGCACAAGGTTCCCTTTGCCCATGATTTTGCCATTTGGTCACTCGACTGGCATCCCCTTGGCCACATCCTCGCATCCGGCTCCAACGACAGGATTACCCGCTTCTGGTCCCGCTCCAGGCCAGGTGACACAGACGTCCTCCAGGACAGGTATCACATCGGTGAGGCCGCCGCCGAAGCACAGGGAACCTGGGACCGCCGCGGCATGCGTCGCCAGCGCCAGGAGGAAGAGGAGCAGGAGATGGAGGACGAAGCCGAGGGTCTCGTCGACCAGAAGATGCCTCTCAAGCAGCCCGCCGTCCCAGGCTTCCCAAGCCTCCCCGGTCTGCCCGGTCTACCCGGCCTGCCCGGCCTCCCAGGTCTCGCAGGCCTGCCAGGCCTCCCGCAGCCCAACGGCACGCACCCTGTGCCACCGCCCCCCATGATCCCCGGCGTCTGCGGCGCTGCCGCGACAGGTGGGCTGTGGTAGCAACGGGGCTGGGGTAAAATCTCGCTAGTGAATGTATGGTGAGGGGGAGGGATGTCGAAAAAACAGACAAGGGAGAGGATAAAATGCGAAGGATGGAAGGAGTTATGAAGGGAATACAGAGCACGCGATAATGCAAGTTTATGAGAGAGGGTAATCGGGTCGACTATTACGTAGTAATAATAGACAGGAAATATGAAATTGGTTGATTGTCGCGAGTGGCGCTAAGCCGTAAATCTGCCGCAGTGATGATATTAGAGGGGAAGTAGAACTATCACACATACTAGTATGGATATATTATATATTAGTATACAGCCGGGGCAGAAAATGTGAACCATACCAAAGAGGGA